GAAGGAAGGAAGGAAGGAAGGAAGAAAGAAAGAAAGAAAGAAAGAAAGAAAGAAAGAAAGAAAGAAAGAAAGAAAGAAAGAAAGAAAGAAAGAAAGAAAGAAAATGACAGGATCCTATGAATTCTTTTATACTTGAAACTTCCACTAAATCAAACTAGTGAATGTCAAGCCTTTATTATGTAGCACTAATACTACAATCTTAAATAAATGATGACCATTTTAGGTGATTATTGGCATTAAAATGCCCTTGTCAGAAAAGACATGATCTGGATACAGTATTAAAAATAAAACATACTCCTATATAAAAGAGACCTTAGATGACTGGATAACTTAGCAGGAACATTTTCTTCATATGTTCATGATGAAAGTAGTGTTTCTATAAATAAAATAGCTGGTATGAATGTCTTGCGGTGAGGTATGAAATACTTTTGTTAAAATTTGGTGAGGGATCATCTGTTTTATTGTGGGCTCAAAGTATAGTTTAAAACTTGCTATTGAAAAATGGATGTGTTTACATGTCTTGTAACGGGAAACTTCTAGCATTCATGGTGAAGGGAAACAATAACATGCATGTACAACAAAAGGTATTTAAAATGTAGGGAATATCTTGAGGCTTATATTATTTCAGGTGAGACTCTAGTTCCAAATTTCACTGAGTCTGAAACTATCTGATGGTCTCCATCTGTATCACTTGAATGTAAAATAATGTCATCTCTGTGCTGAGAGAAAGAAAATTAGAGCCAAAATGAATTAACAGTTCCTATTAATCAAAGGCTAATTTATCAAAAGTAAAAAAAAGTAGAAAAATCTATGATGGGGCATCCCTTAAAAGTAGAGTAGGGTCAGGGGCCAAACTATGCCTGAAACTAGCATGTTCAGAGAGATTTACAATATGGAGGAAAAGAAAAAGGAAGAGGAAACTCTCCACTCCCTTTAATGCACATATGTACACACACTCACACATACACACACCCCTTTGAAACCCGACAAGTGAGATCTGTGAACCTGGGAAGATTCCAGACCATCAATTCTGAGAAGAATGTAATTTAATATTGGAAGTTACTGAGGGTGAAATGAAGATCACAGCTGTCTTTCCTTTCAACAAAAAATGGAGCTTTGCTCTCGAGAACAACCACTCAACACAACTAAGCTGAGGACTGGAACCCAAGGCCTTTTGATTTGCCATCCCAGCCCCTGACCCATTCTGGAGGAAATGGGGTTGGGGGTGGTGACACAGCTCAAAGTGCAGAAGCCACATTGATCATGGGTGAAGGAGACTGTTGGCTTCCCCTTTGAAAGTGGTCCTGTGAGCCTTCCCATTATGGCCTGGCCTGATGTTAGCAGGAAACGGAGAAAACATTGTGGCTGCTTGAAAGACCTGCTGGATGGCCCAGAAAAGATCAAGTCCTCCTTCTGCAAGGAGGGTTGGAGGAGTTTTGTGGCAGCGAGGGGCAGGCTTGCAACTTGGGAGAGGGGCAGGGCAAAGAAGTGGATGCATCCAGGAGAAAGAAAAAGAACGGGATTTCTTTTAAATCTCCCTAAGGAAACAAGGGAAAGAGAGGGCTTCCCTGTGATCTCCAGCTGGGCACCTGGTCTGCTGGATTACACGCCAATATTTTATTTCATTCCTCCTCCTGCCCACGGCAGGGTGCTGGGCCTGGAGGGGATCAGGAGGAGCTGTTCAAGTGAAAAGTTACCTTAAGTGCTTTTTATTCAAAGTTTGTGTTCCGTCCTGTTTCTTTGGAGCTGTTTGAAAGGAAACTGCTTGTTTTTTCAGGCTAGGATTTATATTCTCCACGCCCCTCTTCAAACTCCCGTCCCACCACCCTTTTCTTTACCGGGCTGTTCTCATCTAAAGTGCCTTTGGCCAGGTCCTGCCTTGTTTTCCAGACTGTTCAGTGCAACCACCACTATTCAGGGACCCTTTAAAAATGGGGTAGGGGTGGGGACAGTGACATGAAAGCCAATTAATGTCAAGAGAACTTGCTCTATATGACAAATGGGGTGATAACTGAAACAAAAGACATGAAAAGAACATGGTCTCTCTGTGTGTGTGGGTGTTGATAGCAGTTACATCAAGGTGTCGTAGGAAGGCAAACAGCCGAGGTCTCCGAGGGGACAATCATGCAAATGGAGTTTAAGTAAATTCCATTTAAATCAGTTGGATTTATTTCTAGGTAAACATGCAGAGAATCAGACTACAGTCTTTGGCTCCAATGATCACTTAGCAAACACACCAATGGCCTGAAATATTTCCAGGCTCCCGTTTGCAGAGATCACAGCCCTGAGAAACAAACCAGAATTGCCCCTGGAACCAATGAATGAGTCTGGCTTGGGGAACTGGGGCGAGAAGGGGCAGGAGAGGGATTTGGGGAAACCCTTTGGGGTGGGAAACGGGCTTCTCGTAACATTCTTATTTTGGACCAATGAAACGTTTTTGTAATTTGAGTTTGACGTTACAGTTTACTCCGTTTAAGCATTCAGATTCTTTGTCCTAATTAACTTCTAGGCCAATAATCTATTTTTACAAGCAGCTGAAGAAGGAGATGAAATGGACAATAATTATTTATTGGACCTTTAGAAATACCAAAGTGAAGGTCTTGTTTTCATAAAGCAGTGAAAGATTGCTTTAAAAATGTGAAATGTGAAATTTTAAAAAATTTAAAATACAATTGATACAACAGAAAAAATTGTCTTGTGCATCTTGGACACCTTAGATTCAATGATTAATGAAATTTAATTCTAACTGCCTTGTTGTTGGAGATATAATTCAGGAATTGGAACAGTAACTCATATCATTTGTGTTTGTCCTACTGAGCTGAAATTGGTACAAATGCCAACATTACTTTTTCAAGGAAGCTGCATATGGTTATATCTCCAGGGTTTTGAATTCAGCAAGGCAGAGTGGACTCTTCATGCAAAGGGAGGAGGTGTCATTCCCAAAAATTGCACCTTGGAAGGACAAACATATATCTAACTTTTCAGCATTAGACTCATGATATATGCTATTAATTAACATCTGAATTAGATTTTTTTTTTGACAAATGGAAAGGAAGAGGAGTTTCAAACTCTCTGATGAAGTTCTGGGAAGTTGGCTGATGTGGGTCTTCCGGGCTGTGTGGCCGTGGTCTTGAAGTTTTGTTTCCTTATGTTTCGCACCTGTGACTGGCATCTTCAGAGTGCAGGAGCACAGACAGGAGCAGTTCTCTCTGTGCCCAGGGTGAGGTGACCCTTTTGTGGGTATTTATAGAGATCTGGGGGGGGAGGGGGGATTGGGTGTGTGTGTGGGGGTTGAGTTGTGGGAAGTTGTTTTCCTTATGAAATAAATGTACCCTCCCTTCCCTCTTTTTAGAATTTTAAATCATCTTATTGTCATCATAGTCATTTATACTGCTTGTGCGTATTGTATCACAGCACCACCTGCAACTGAGGGTAGGTCTCAAAGACCAAGAGTTTGTTTGGTTATTTATTTACTGGGCTTACATGCTGCTTTAATCATTGCCAACTCTAAGCGGCTTATGTAGCTGGTATCCACAACTCAGATTAAAAAAACAACACAATAATGACCAACGTAACAAACAGCAACTGCAAGAGAATAGCCTCATCATGTACCCACCACTAAGGCCTACTGAAGCAGCCAGGTTTTGCTGGTCTTCCTAAACCCTGGGAGGGTTGGAGCCAGTTCCAGAGAGGAGGGTAGCAACTGGCAAGGCCACATTCTAGGCCGCTATTGATGTCTTTCTCTGAGAGAAGCAATGCGGAGAGGGCCCCCCGATCTTACTGAACAGGCCGATATAACTGGGAGCAGGTGGCCATATAGAATTTTGAAGGCAACAACCAACACCCAGAAGCCAAGTGGCAATCAGCACAGCTCTCAAAGCAGAGGTGTTACAAAGGAAACTGAGGTGTGCCCATAACTATTTAAGCTATCACATTCTGGACCTGCTGTGGCTTCCACGTGATGTTCAAGGGCAATAGTCCAAGTGAGAGATGACCAAGGCAAGAGTGACTGTGAGTAAAGTCTTCTGGTCCAGGAAGGGTCATAAATGGCACACCATACCAGGCCCTCTTAACCACAGCTGCCACCTTGGGACAGCATCGGGTTGAGGTGTAAAGCTGAGTATCATCCCTATACTAATGATATCTGATCCATGTTGATGGATGACCTCCCCAGTAGTTTCATGTAGATATTAAATCAGAATGGAGGAGCACTGAGGCTAGAACTCAATTCCCCCTCTGCTGACCAGAACTGACCCTTTGGGAAGGAGAACAACTGCAAAAACAGTGCCTCCAGTCCCAACCCTTGAAGACGGTCCAAAGGGATACCACAGTGAGGGCTGTTGAAGGCCACGGACAGACCAAGCAACACAGGGGGCTTGCCCTCCCCCATCCTCATCTCACCAAAGGTACCCACAAGTGGGCTCAGTGTGGTCTTGGCGCTGTACCCAAGCCAGACTGAAAAGGGCTCAAACAAGCTGTTTCTTCCAGGGTTCTGTAGAGTTGCAGACCCAATTTATAACAAAGTTACTGATCGAGAACTGAATAGTTTCATAATTCATTCAAAGCTGTTGCAAACAGAAGTCTTCATATCTTGGCCAGGTTAATGGGCTGTGCAAATCATTTATTCATTTTGTTTGAACTGTGCCATTATCTTATCGATCGGGTTAGGGATGTGGCTGAAGTACATTTTCATGTTTTGCCCTAAGACCTCCAAAATAAACCTCCAAGCAAAAGTTATTAATTGGCTTCTGAGAAAATGTCTGCAGCCACCTGTGACAGAGCAAGAGAGCAACTCCTCATCCAGTGATGGCTTTTCCCCAACAAGCTGTCCTCCAATTGTTCATCTTCAGTCCTGCATACGACCTTTGCAGACGAGCTCAGCAGATGAGAAAGGATGTGCAAAAGCAGACACAATACCAACCTCTTACCACATTAAACAATTACAATTCTGCAACTGTTTTTAATGATTCGCTGACATGCTATTAACATGCAAAGGACATACAACCCTATATGGCGCTTCACTGTTTACAGCCAGTGCATGATTAGTGAAGTGGGGAAGGCAGACCACTTAAATCTGCTTAAAGCATGTCACAGAGGAAGAGCATCTACTGACCAGCCTGTTGACTTTCGTACACTCACAAAACTGGAGGAGGTCCTGTACCTTTTTACTGAGTTCAGAAACTCCTCAGACCTCAGAAATCACGTTTTCCACCAATATCTCTGAACCATCATGATACCAGTCAATCTTATTTACAGACCAATAGCTCTTAGGTACATAACAGGAAACACAACTGAACTGTGAATTCAAAATTAGTAAGTCTTGTGTAATTTAACATTAGAGAGAAAATTATTGTTAGCATCCATGAAATATGAAACAGACAAAAATAATAATTTAGTCACAGTAAATGTGACACAGGATGTAACACTACCATTTGACTTTCTGGAGCCTTGATTCAGCTAAAAAAAATTAAATATGAATTCTTCTCCCAAGGACCCCCAACTGTGGGTACAACGCTCCGTTCATCATTTGGCTCAAACCTCTCATTGTGCAGATACCCACACCCCCAGGTGAAACAATTAAAAGGCATTTAAAAATAGCTGTATCCATTTTATTAAAAAGCCTTCTACAAAGGGATAAACACAAAAATGAGACATTATCCTACAGTCAAAGTATTGCCTAATACACTGATGTTTGCTCGGTGAGCTTCTCCCACCCCGGCATACCACCAACCAGTTTTATCTAAAATTAACAAGGTTTTGTCCGGCAAAGCTCTCATCCCTTCTACTACATGGACTCCATGATGGAGAACCACTTGGGGAAGCCTGTGAAGGAGACTCAGATGGTCCCTGAGATAAGAAGGGTGCTTTCTTGGAACTTCAAGAAGCACTACTTCCTGCTGCAGATAACTAACAATTTCTCATTTCTCAATGGCTGAGAGTTGAAAGAGTGCAAACCAGGGATGAAAAAGCCTCTTATCTTTGTAAGGCCGTTGCTCCACAGTAAAACAAACTCAACAATCAACTAATTAATTGTATTAAAGATTCCTGCATATAATAACTTTAAATTATCAAGCATATTGAAGTACGTAGGAAGAATCTTCAGGGGTGTTGCTATTTCTTGGAGCTCCAGCTCTGAGCTTCTGGAAATGGCCAAGGTCCAAGCGAATTAAAAAGGGATCAGTTTACCCTACCAACCAAAACCTAATGGTTGTGCGTAACCAATGGTTGTCAGATAGGGAGTGGATCTGTCACAGAAGCTTTCTGTGTGTAAAACACCCAAGCTAATGGGCTGGTGGTGCTGCGTCCTGCAGTGGGAGCAGGGGAGACTTTCCACAGGTTTCATAGAATTAGGATGTGTATTTTGTTGAGATGATCTCAGTGTTTCATTTTTAGTCTCCATGACTGGCCTTGCAACTAGCCCATGGAGTGAACCAGATCCATACTTGGTTCACAATTAATTCCTCCCCTCCTCTCCCCTCCCCTCCCCCCTCCCCCCACCACAGTCTCCTTCAACTCCTGCCCATCCCATGGGCAGGTCTGTGTGTTCCCTTGGTAATGGTGTGGGAGGAGTCTGCCCACCCTCTTCCTCTGGCACATTTCTCCCCTTCCCAGTCTAGCCTTCCACAGTGGGATTTCCCGGAGACCTTCCCCCATCTACTCACCAGGAGGACCTGCTTAGCTCTGAGCTCAGACAAGCCACTCCAGATGCTGCTGTGGGCTGGAACAGCACCTCAGAAAGGAGGCTGAAAGTCACAAAAAGGAGGGGGGACCTGCCAGACCACTTCTGCTCCCCGCAACCTACATTACAGGCTGAGCAGCACGTTGCATTTGAGCCTATGAGGGTGCCCTTCGGGGAGCTGGATCTCAAGCGCCGAACAGCCCCAGCCTCTTCCCCACGGCACCTGTTCTTCCCCTGAAATGCTGCGCTGAAAACGAACAGCAAAACTCATCTGGAAAGGAAATTCGGGGAAGGTGCCCAAGCGCCTTACCTTGGCAACAGCCTTGCCTTCACAATTATTCTGGGAATCTTTAATGCCACTGAGCGAATCTCTTCTCTGTGGGTTGCACGGCCTTTTCTTCCGTGGTCGGCCTTTAAGATTGGGAGCTGAAAATAAACAAGCGACAGTTCAGCCCAATTTCTTACAAGAGAGCAATACAGCTAATTCCCTCCAGGAGCTGAGAGAAGCGGTGGATGCGGAGGACAGATCTTCCCTGCAATAATTCCTCCAAAGTTGGGCTGTTTGTAGGTCACGTGTTTCTGTGGCCACCCCCCCGCCCCCCGCCGCCCGTGACTTGGAGCGCCTTCACAGCATCACAGCATCAAACAAAGTCTGCCTGCATTGCTGTTATTTTGGCACAATGAGGGTTGGATGAAGTTGTTAGGGGGAAATGACCTATATTACATTTGCTCCTGGCTCATCTCCTGCTGTTTACATTTGAAAGAGCTAAAGGAAAACAAAGTGTCTTTTTGCAAAACTAGGAGAAAGCAGCAGATAGCTGAACATTATGTGAACACACACGGACATGAACTTCAGTGACACGTAACTGTCTTCTCTGGCCATTTCCTTGGAGTCTAAGGCGTCGGAGGAAGGAGGTTACGTCCGTTGGCAGCGAAACAGGTACAGGACCAGGAACAGAGTCACTGCTGAACCACTCAAGCGAAACCGTCCTTTAATGGAAGACCTTTATTTACAGTGCCCAGAAACTCCAGATTTACAGAAAATCAAGCCATTCTGAGTTGCGTTTTGAAAACTCACATATATAGGTCGCTCCCTTTTTTGCAAAAGCAAGCATTTCTGTGATGATGAGAAAAAACCGAGGGGGGAAGAAAGTTGTTTTGTTTGGTATGGAAAATGACCTCTATAAATTCAGCTATCCAATTCCAACAACTTTAAACATGAGAAATCGCCATTAATTGGCGATTATAGTTGAGGCAGCTGGCTGCAGGGCTCTCTCGTTCTTCTAGAGTAACCATTGTTTCTGTTACTTCTAGGGACGATTATAGTCATGTCAGAAATCTAAACACCACAGACCTCCTGAGTGACTTCTAATTGTTTCTAATCTTACATTTGTCACACCAGAGGTTTTAGGATGTTCTACATTTTAATTAGCTGTCTGCTCCAATTTGATCCTGATGCTCTGAAACCAGAGTTTCCTGGGGGTGCACCCCAGTTTCTTCCCCACCTGTCTCCTCCCCACGCCCCAAATGGCCCCTGCTTCAGAACTCCGAGCGGGCTGGGCCGGCAGACCAGAGAGGCAGAGAGCAAGTGAGCAAGGATGGAAGAAAAGAAATAATTACCCATCCCAGACGGCAAACCTCTGCCTGATTTATCTTTCGACTCCTGAACGCTACAGCGTGCGGGCGGGTGGGCGGGCGGGCAGGCGGCTGCGGCGCCCCACCTCTCTGGAACCCCTGAGGGGCCTGCCGGTCTCCTTCGGAGCCTGTGCCCGCGGCTTCCTGCTCCCCTGCCGGCCGCTCTCTTCCTCGCAGAAACCCCAATGAGGGGCTCAGGCAGCAGAGAGTGGGATGCTTGTGCCAGGCTGGAGCTCTCCGGCTGCTGACGCGCTGGCAAGGAGCCTGTTCCCTGCTTTGCAAATGTAGCTCATGATTGTGTTGCAATTGTTCTGCTGCTCTGACCTCCTCCTCGCCTGAGACCGGTTGGAAGGCACATGGAGTTTCCCCAAGCCAGAACCAAGGAGGGAAGAAGGAAGAAGAAGAGGACAAGGAAGAATTGGTACTATTTCCTTCCAAGGAAAGGGCATCAAACTCCAAGTCCAAGTCTGGATTTATTGCAACCCAAGGTGAGCACTTAAACGTCAGGCTGGCCCTGGAGAAAAGGGGGCAAATTCAGGTTGAGCAAAATCATCTGAAGATGCTCAAGTGGCGTGACTGGATTCCCTTCTGGCTTAGGAGGACGTCTCATTTTGAGGAAGCTAGAATGAAGCATGGCTGGTTCCCAGCAAGGAGTCTTGGAAAAAGAAACTGAAATGGAGCAAAGCATGTCTGGTCCAGAGAGAAAGCACACACCAGCCCCATCTCACTCCTCATCTTTAAATTTCAGCAAACTAACACAAAACTAAAGTTTTAAGTGGCAGGAAAAGGCAACTTCCATAAATAGTATTTCTACATGCAGAAAATTACTGTGTACCATGGCAGTAATGCACAATTTCTCCTTTCTTCAGTCATGGAGGAATTTGGATTTCTCTAGAAAGTTCATACTTCAGGTATGACATAATGCAATTTTAAATTGTACCCATATCAGATGTATAATTAAAAGTGTCTCAATGAATCAGCAAGGACTGTGGAATTTCACTGACTAGCAAAAGACAGTCTGACATTAAAGCAGCATTTCCATTCCCTAAACGGCTGCACATGTTTACTTATTGCTCCTAAGTGACTAACACTTCCCTCATCTAGAAAAGTAAATCATTGATAAGAAAATATTTATAGTTTCATCTATTTATAGTATTCATAGTGAAACTCTTATGCAAAAATATTTAACAGTGGCCCACTTCTCGCCAAAGGTATTTTCCATTAGAAGCATTCAGAAGGTCAGCATGAAGTATACTTTGTATTTTCTTAAATTCTTTTTCCAAACATGTCAGGTGAACATCTGTGCTAACAAACAGTGATATTGTTTTGTTTTAAGCACTTATATCAGATCAGCCACGTATCTCCAGAAAATACCAAAGAAAAGCAAACTGAAATAAGCTTTTAAGAAGTAATAGTATCTGATCAAAGAACAGAGAAGCTTGCCAGAGATGGTACCCAAGGAGACCATCTGCCAACATGAAGGACCACCCTTATCTTTTCTGCATTGACTGGGAGAAAGGATGCCCTGGGTGAGGGGTTGGATTACGAGGGTCCCTTCCAAGCCTGGAATTCCTGTGTTTCAGTGGCCTGTCAAGGTTTCCATTCTTTATTTTGCAATCATCATCACTGTCATCATCATCATCATCACGCCAAATCAATCCATTGCAGGAAGAAAGCATCTTCACTGAAGGTTATAGATCTGTCATGGTTAATGGTTTAGCAGACAGATAGTTTTGTTTTGTTTTTTACTTCTAGAGCTGAGCAGGGAAGAACTGTCCAAAGTCATCCAGTTGGCTTCTCTCCTAACAGAGGACTAGAACTTGGTTCTCCTAGTCCAATACCTTCCCCTTCACTATCCAGGCTCTCATGCATGTATCAATATCAACATCAATAAATAAAAGGACAACAAGCTCCTTCTTTTCTCTTTGGTTCCTGCAAAGTTCTTGCAAGGGTGCAGAGATAATACTAGGATGGCCTTCACTCTGATGGGGCCTCCATATAGGTGGAACTTCCACTCCCATTGCCACCAGCTGCTGGGAGGACACTGAGCTTGGAACCCACTAGAGAATGGGAGCTGCCCTGTCAAAGGTCTAGCTCTGCGACAACAAGTCTTACCTGCAACCTGATCCCGCAATGAATCTGAACTTTTCAGAGCAGTGAGATATTTCTGCCTGTGTGTGAATCCATGGCCAAAGGAGGGTGAGAAAAGGAGAGAAACTGGCCAAGTGTAGGGGAAGAGGAATAGGGAAGAATTAGGCTGACTTGTTTTAAACAGCAGAATCAACAATTGTTGACTACTAGGTGAGTGAAAATTGTATGCTGTCACATTTCAAGTTAGACAAGACTGTCCATAATTTTTGAAGCTATTTTGATTTTCATTCTAGAATAGAGAATTTTTAAGCAGACACATTTGTTTATTAACTTATTAATAGTCGCATGGTTCTTTCAGTGAACAGGAATTTCATTTGGAAAACCTGGGGAGTCTTCTAGAGGCAAAACTGCGTGGGAACCAATTGTACAACATTGTCCTCCACTCATGCACTGCTGGATTTCAACTATAACTCTTCAGGGTATACAGAGCATTCTCATGGTTAATTCTGAAGAAGCCAGTATCCCCAACTTAACATCCCACAGTTGGGCTCGTATGCCATTCACAGCAGGTTGGGAAAGATGGGAATAATCTTAAGAGAGCTTTGCACAGATACGTGTGCGTGTGTGTATTAATACCACTCCTACAGACCACAGATTTGGGTAGGCAGCTGAAGCTGAAAGAAAGCGGGTTGTTCAAGGCCACCTGGCACTTCTGTAGCTTGGGCAAGATTTGGATCAGAAGCATCTTAATTCACAACTGTGTACCTCAGCCACCTTGTATTTGCTGCCAGAACACCCAAATCAAGATACGGAAAAGGATATCAACATTTCCTTCATTGGAGCACAACCACAAGATGCCACATAAAGTTCTCTGCCTGCTGAGGTTAAGGTCAACCACAGCCACGTAAGTGAAACCATAATTGCTATTCAGGGCTTCTGCTATAATGTGAAATATTCCTGATGCCTATCTATTGGATACTTGTCATAATACAAGCCTTTTTTAATAAAATAAAACACATATTTTGGCTGCTATTAAAACAGAGTACTAGCATAGCTGAAGTTCAGCCTAGCTACCTGGGCATTTTGTCAAAAACCGGTCTGACAGTAAAGGACTTTTCATGAGCAGGGAACGTGTTACCACTCTTGACGTACCTGGAGCACCGTCACAGCCCAAACCCGACACTCTTTTGCCTCTTCCGGCTGCTGTGCATGCGGTGCAAGTCAAAAGCAACCTGTGCGACTGGGGCACGTTGCATCTGATCAATTTAGCCAATGTATTAAGCCATTTTCAAAGATTTTCTCATTTTATTCTGATCCATATCGTTATTTCTTGATTTGAGCATTCAGTTCTGGCCTGTAGGTATACGGTGGTTCAGAAGATTTTACAAAGACGTTACTTCACCCAGGCCTTTGGCGAGGGAGCGTGAGACACTTCACTTTATCACACTTCCCATCATTTATCTTTATTTGTTATGTTTCCTTTACTGCAATTTGTTTGATTGTTGTGAGCCGCCCAGAGCCACTGAGTAGTATACATGTTTGTTATGGTTGGTCGCACAGTCAGCCAGATGTTTAGACTGGATTTGGCATTTTTATCCAGCTATGGAGTC